GGGGGGGGGGCGCCCTCCACATGCTCGGCGGCAAACCCAGAAATGGACCAGAAGTACTTCTTTCCGGTCCACTTCTTGGTCAGCCAGGGAGTGTGCTGGACCCCCCTCCACTCCCTTCTGGCTTGGCAATCGGCCACAGGGGGGACCCCAGGTGCCCCCCCTGCCCCAGGAGGCACCAGTTGCCAAGCTGGGGGAGGGGTGGGGTCGGAAGAGGGGGCAGTGCACTCTCCAGCTGACCTGGGAGTGGACCAGAAGCATTTCCGGGTCTGCTGCCGAGCGCACTGGGGGTGTCCCCCCATGCTTGTGGGACACGTGTCCCACCATCACAGCGTTGACGAGCTGCCTGCTACCTAGAGGCATGTAGAAAAAACATTTAAAGTTGTGTCCATGTCCAAATCTCCGAATCAATTCAGAGGGTTCTGATTTGATTCTATTCGGATTTGGAAATTTGGCCACCAAACTGAATCAGGGACCAAAGCTTCGCACAGCCCTACTGTGCAACTCCATGGGAGCAGTGCAGAGTGGGCCACTAGGAAGTTCTCTCAGCAGGCAGCAAGGCTGAATTCTAGAGAATTAAAAATTTTGGCTACAGGAGGATCCATGACTGCAGCCGTTGCTTATGCCTCTGGGTTTGATACAGCAATTTTCACTAAAAATAGGACCCTGTTGTGACCTTCTGACCAGGCTCCAGAACATGAACGATTGTGCCCCTGGCAGCAGGCAGGGGCATGGCAGTGGCAGGAGCGCATCAGTGGACAGCAGGAGCTCCCACAGATGCCACCAGAGCTGTCGGCGGCAGGGGTGGGGGGCCGGATGCAAGTGCCAACCAGGGGATGAACACCAGCCAGGAGTCAGCAACCACCCACAGATGCTGCTGGCTGTGTCAGCAGTGGCCAGCAGGGATCTGCCAGTGGTGTTGGCAGCGGGGTGGTGGCGAGCAGTGACCACCTGCAAGCGTCGCCAATACTGTCGGCAGTGCCTTTTTGTAGGGGGTGCACCGCCATGCTCAGGGGGTGCATGTGCACTCCCCTACACATCACCCCTGCTCCAGAAAGGGGTGGGGGCAACTCATTGCTCACAGAGACAACCAGGACAAGGGATTGTTTAAGGTTTGGTGCAACAGCAATTTGGATAAAGAAGGGCACCCCCCTGCTTACTACTATCAACTACAGATGGTAATGCTAATACCTCTCCTTTATTTGTTAGATTTTCAGTCTGCTGTCCTCAAAAGCAGCTCAGTGCAGCTTGAAGCACTGTGACCTCCGCAGACAGGGTACAGTTGCAGGCACTTAAAAAGTCTCCAGTATATTATTCCTGTACCTTAATGGGTTTGAAGGGTGGTGTATCCTAATACAAACTGAATGATCATCAAACCCAGTTAGCATTTGAGTGCAGAGATGCACAGTATAGATGCACAGGTAGGACAGGAAGGCAAGGCTTTCCCTTCCACAGATGTGGCATGCTTGATCACTCCAGCATAACTCCACGATAGTGTCATGGCAGCATTGTTTGCCCTTGTGCTGAACAGGAATATTTCCTATACAAAATAAAAGGGCATAGGCCCCCAATCCTGACTCCTTCTCCCTTGTCATCTACCCAAGTTGTTGTCTGGCAAATGTTTCTGCTGTAGCAACGTTCCACCATATAAGTGCCTACTAGGCAACTCCCCCACCTCAACTCCAAAAGTAGTCCTCCTGCCCGCTAGATGCTGAAATTAGAGGGTCAACTTTTTCAAAACCAGCTGCATATTTTGAATACTCTTTTGTCCCTCAAGTGACCTCAGGCTGGGTTTTTCTGGAGTAGTAAGCATTCCCAATTCTAGCTGAAGTCAACAGGAGATGTAGATATTCAGCACCTTGGAAGAGTCAGATCCCAGTAGGCACTAGTCAAAGAGAAACCAGTACCTCTAATGCTAAGAGCAGGCAGGTATTTTTGCCCCAAATATTCCAGCTTTCCCCCCTCCATCTCCTAGAAAAGCTAGAGTCCTAAAGGAAGTTGTAGCATTCAGTGTTTGATTTTAGCTAATCCCTCCCCCAAGAACAGCACAAGTTGTTTGTGGCTTTTTGAGAATTAAGGTGGGTTCAGCAAAAGCAACAGACACTGAAGACACACAGATGCGCTCCATTTCTAGATTTATTGTAACAGAGGACAGGCTGCATAAAGGCCTAAAAAAATTACACAACAGCAGAGGGCTCTCCATAATGGGTGAAGGTCAGAGTCTGAAGGAGACAGAAGCTTCAAACCACAGCACAAAAAACAGTCATCCCCAACCACGTGACAGACTAGCACCAACAGCTATTATTGCACAATCAGGGGCTTTGGGTGGGCAGCTTCAGGAGTTCCAGGGCAGAAGGAAAAGGCCATGCCATATGCATGAAGTCTGCAATTAAAGTGCAATCAATTTCTCCTAACCTGAGAAACAGGAAATCAGTCTTTACCTCATGAGCTGTTACTGCTTTTCTCCAGATCATGGTGGCAGTTGAGGGCAGACAGGCTAGTAGATCTTCAGGGAAGTTTGCTAGCAACAGGAATTTCAGAATCCAAAACTGCCTGCGATTAAAATGCTGTGTAAGAGGCAAAAAAAGGAAAAGGTGGCAGCAAAAGTCCCTTTGACTTGAGGGGAGGAAAAGAGAATACTTATGAAGAGGCGGCAGCAGCAGCATCAGGCGCATGCTTATCACTTTGCCTTCTGCAGTGAAGATCTCCATCCTGCCCCTGCTCCCCCTCAATGGAAACAGTTCCCAGTCATAAGGAACTGCTGGGCCTTAAAGCTCTCTCCTTTCAAACAGGTCCAGTTACTTGTTTAGTGGGTGGGAATTTTAGACAGGCAGCTGTGGCTCAAATCAACAGGCAGTCACAAGATCAAAACAGTTTCTGGGGTGTCTGGACACACAGCTGACACTGCCGTCTTTACCTGTGTAATGAGGGACGATAGAACCAGAACTCAATTATAAAGAATTGCACATACTGTAATGTTTCACTGAAAAGGGATCTTCAAGTTACTGTATCTTGACAGAGAAAGGATAGGGGCTCAACCATTAACAGCAAGTCTGGCTTCAAATTTGAGCGACTGAGAGAGAGAGAGAGAGAGAGAGAGAGAGAGAGAGAGAGAGAGAGATCATGAGGGTTCTACATTCATTGATCAAAGATTTCTCTAGTGACCAGCCCTTTTCAGAGCAGAACCTCAATTTCAGGGACATTTGCGGAAAGTGGTAGGAAGGGCAGCAATGAAGCAAACAAGAATGGAGAAGTGGTACCATCAGATTTAGACACCAGAATGTCCTGAGGAGCTGATCAGAAAAAACCCCACAAAACTACAACTGTATAGACTTGTGTCAGCACAAAGAGCAGAGTTGGGAAGGAAGGGGCCTAACTCCTGCTCTAGCTCGTTTTAAGTGAGTAACTGTTTTAAGAAACACTCTCAGGTGAGGGAGTGAGCACTCAGTGCTTGTGCTACTCAAACACTAATGATGTAAATGTTTGAAGAAATCCTGCCAAGATGCTGACTCCAAGTCTGAAAAACTTCCGCGTAGGGTCAGGAGCCAATTCACAATAGGATGCTTTTGAAGGGAAGAGAGGAAGCCAGCCTGAAGAGTGCAAGTGGCTTTGGTTACCCATGGCAAAGCTTCTACCCACTGCCTTGTCTACAAGATACATTCAATGACTGAGTTAAGTGCTGTGGTTGAAAGCCATCTGCTTGCCCCCCCTAAACGCCCTTCACTTTCTCCATCCTCTGGAACCAGAGGCCAGGGACTGCTGAGGGGCAGGCCAGCTGCTCTGCTGCATTTACTTGGTGACTTGGTAGATAGCATGAGCCAAGTAACCCACGTTGCCCGATGTGACCCCCGCCACGGAGATGCGGCCGTCTTTAGTCATGTAGATGGAGAACTCCTTAGTCAGTCGCTCCACCTGAAACACAAGCAATACATACAAGTTTACATCCAGGGCCAACCTGGCAGCATGGGGCTCCAGTCCCATCCAGTTTGCCTAAAATGCAAGTGTAAACCCTAGAGACTCAGACCAGAGCACAGCCTGCTTATGTGGCTCTTGACAGCTCACCAAAACTTGTTGAGAGGCCCTCCAGAGAAATAATTGCCCACTCCTGCTCTAGCTGAACTTTAATACCATAAGTTAAGAGAAGAGTATTACTGATCATTGCACTTTATGGTTATATTCCTTTGGATTCTTTGCTCAAGCAATGTGGGGAGAGGGAAA